ACCTTGCTGCTGGGCTTACTGCCTCCGGCACGGCAGCCCAGGCCTCTGCCTGCCCCTCTTTGGCCCTGGGGTGCTTCCTGGGAACGTTGTGGGGTAGGGGATTTGTCAAGCTCCACGTGCAGCTCCTGCTGCTGATTTCTGTGAGCAGTCTTGCCCTCCATCCCAATTAAAAATAAATTAGAATATGTCTCATGCAAACAAAACCCTTTAGTGGAGCAGATTGGTCTATGAAAGGTGCACAATAGGAGGGGAGAGTAAAGTAGTTGCAGTCCCCTGAGATTAATACAGAATTACCTTAAGTAGCAGCCCTGCTTTCTACGGAAAAGAAATTCATATGTCTGTATCTTGAAAAAGAGTGGTTTCCTTTAAGTCTGAATAAAGTTAGGTTGTACTTGATTGAAGCACAACACATTCTTCCCACTTTATCAGCAGTCATTAATAAGTTTAACACATGGGAAATACGTGGGTTTACAGGTGCCTTTTTTAAAAATAAATTGGCTGTGGGACTCGAGATAGGACCTAAGGGTACTCTTAATTAATTTTGTCTGCTTAGACTTGAAATTCACATGTCTTTTCTGCATTTTGCCCATCTCAATTTGAGATAATGCTTTTACTACTTAACAGATCTGACGTTGAGGGGAGAGTGGGAAGGAGAATTGGGCTGCGGATGGAAGTAGTTTCTGAAATACAGTAAAGTTCACACTTCACGTTATTTCAGGATTTGATCAGTTGACAAACTCGGGAGTTGCAACCTGTTACATGGAAGCAGGACACTAGGTGGAGACACGTACTCTCTGCTGACATGAGGTAGTGCATGTATCCAGAAGGTGGTGGAAGCTGGCTTGCAGAACTTTTGGGAGTTTGGACTTACCCAAAAGTGAAAATTGAAACATTTTACTAGAGTAACTGTATCAGTAGAGTTAAAGTGCCAGCTGTAATACTCAAGGATCCAGTCTACTGAACCTATACATTCTAAAAGACTTTTAGGAACAAGACAAAAATACTAATTCGTGCAAGACCAACTGCGGAGTGACTGCTGAATATGCCCTTACAAAATTTTAAGGACATAGAGATATTGTGATATAACCTGCATACTGAATGTTCTGTCATTGCTGAATGCTGCTCCTTTTATATTTTTAAAAGAGAAAAATTTAACCAAAGAATGGTGTAAGAAAGCAGAAAGGTTATCTGCTTGTATTGAATTGCTAAGCAAAAAGGCACTTGGAGGCACTGTGCCGCTAAGGGAGGCTTTCAGACTGAGCAGCCTCTCCTAGTATCCTGGTTGGGAAGTATTCTACTTTGTATCAATTTGCACTGCTCTATGGATAATCTGTAATGAGTTTGTGCAGATAAGTTAATGCACTTACACTGCCTAGTCTCTCCAAAACTTACATAGTTTGGGATTTCTTTAATAGACCAATTTGCAATATTAGTTTTCAGCTTTTTTTTTTTTTTTAAACCTGCAGATTTACCTGATGGCAGACCTGCATGCACAGGCAGCCAAAGGGGAACTTTTCTAAAAACTGAGGATTTGAAAGGGGAGGCCAGGTGTCTAGAACAGGGCAGGTCAAATTGTTACTACAGCAGTTATTGTTGCAGGGACAAAGGTATTGTGGGATTGTTTCTAGAAAACTGTTAAATCTAGAGCAAATTACACAGTATTATAGTGGTAGTACTGTAGAAATACAGTGTTCTTTTTTTCTTAAAAAGGTGATTTCACTAGATCAGCATAAACTCATGATTTTGCTGGCACTGCTGGATTTAGAATGGGTTGGGGGGCCTCCCAGCTGTGCCAATAGAAGACAAATTTTACTGGTAAAACAGAGCACACTTTGAATCTTGCAGATTAAGCGATGTTAGTGTGGTCGAGGCAGTAATTCTTCCCTCTCCCTGAAAGTAAAACAATTCTGCCAATGCAGACTTGCTTATGGAAGTATTGCTTACGCTAAGTCAATGCAGTAAAATAAGCTTAATTGTTGTGAAATGCCTTGCATGGCATCTTCAGGCTACCCCGGAATAAACCAATTGAAACAAGAAATTCTTAATGGTGTCATTATACTAGTTAAATTTTTAAGCATAATCTAGGTTATAAAAACAATTTTTTTACTAGAATAATTCTGTAAGTGTGAGGTCAACAAAACTTGCCAGAAGCAGAGCTGACTGATAGTGTGAAAAAAATAACAGCAAGGCAGGACTTAGCTTTTCTAAAGATCTTGATTTTTATACAGTGGAATATTCTCAAAAAAAAAAAAATCCTTAGATGTTCATAGACAGAAACGAGAGGCCAACTCCTTTACATTTTTAGAAAAAGTCTCTTGACTTCCCCGGTTCCTTCTGAATGATTATATCAGTCATTATTGCCACCAAAATAAGTTAGAGAACTAGAACAAGTAGAATATTTACAACAAGGTTTAGAAACGTCACAAAGAGCTGTCTTAATGTTTAGTTTGGAATTAAGATGCCATGCTCCAGTTTCATTTAAAAAAGTAATTGCAAAGTAATTGAGCTTTCGTTTAGTTTCTGCACAAAAATACCAGTTAGTAAAGGTGACCTGTTCAAGAGATGTCTTCATATCTTGAAATTAAAAAAAAAAAAATTGCTCCAGTCAATCACTACTTTACTCTGAGATCTGTCAGCTTTGTTTTTGTCACTGTATAATTTGAGAGAGGAACTGTCCAGGGGAGTCATGATTTGTAACAGCGTTGGGAAGCATTGTGAGTGAACTGCTGCAAGACAAAGAAAAACTGCTTTAAAGCTGCAGGCTCTTTGTGACCACTTAAATTAGACAAGAATAACTTCTCTCTCTGCACCTCTCTAAAAGGCGTTAAAATACTCTAGTAACAGTTTTACTAAAGTCTTCAAACAGGCTGGAGCCCTCTAATGGTCATGATAGCTTAGAGCTAAGCTCTGGCAGTGTCTTAATATAAAGGACACCCTTAACACGATAAATCCAGGCTAAAATGTTCCCACTGTATTCATTTCACACTTTGTCTAGCTATTCGAGTGAGCGATTCCATGATATTTAAGATATGTGTCAAAGGGTAGAGATGGTGTTTCTTAGAACCTCACGTACTCCTGTTTGAGAGAGAGTTCAGCTACTCAACTTCTTCCGAATCATTACCATCTCTTCTGTCAGTCAGTGTTTCAGGGGTGCTTTGATATGCAGACTGGAGACAATCAGCCGCAGAATGCCTGACAATGCTTCTGTATGTTCACACTCAGTGGGCTGTGAAATATTCTTGGGAATTTTTTTGTTGCGTTACTGTACACCCACAATCATCACACTTGCAAAACAACATCACTTTCAGTTACTTTTTAGAAAAAATATCTAAAAATAGTTCAAACTTAATCTGCATTAGAGAACAAAGCATTTCAGGAAGTGAGTTGTAGAAAAGTAGCTATTTGAAGCTTCACTTGCTTTATACTGTATTTCCATGTTTACGTTTTCAATTAAAGAACTTCTCCTCAGTTTTTGTATAAGACAAAACATTCTAACAGAATTCCAGCAATGAACCTAGAGCAATTATTGGCACCAGAGTGAAAACCCTTAAAAGTAGGGTTAATCTGGAAACTGGTCGGTTACCAAGGGTATAGAAACATTTTAAAAATTCTTCAAAATACAAAGTAACTTTTTAAACTAAAACCATACATATATGGTATTAGAAACAGGAAAGAGAAGTAAAGATAAATACAGTTTTGCTAATTCACATATTATCCATCGTGTATAAAATAGACTACAAACATGTTTCACATAAATCTTAACAAAGCCAGGTTCAGCCAGTCAGAGCTGCAGTTTTTCTTCCTGTTTGTCTTCAGTCACTGCAGAAAAGAAAAAGCTCAAACTGTATGAGTAAGCAAGGGCTTCAAGAAATATGAGCGCGCATCTTTTCTTCCACCAGAAACGTGCTTGTTTTATTTGGTCATTCCATACTCAGGGCTCTGTAAGAAGGCTCTTAAGGTTTCTGATGATTTGAATGCCTCCACCAGCTGATCTCTGCCATGGTCCAGTCCTTTTATTTTTCCTCCCAAAGAGAGAAAGCAGGACTAACTGCAATCTATAGGCAAAGTAACAGCTAGTCACTGTTCCAAATGCAGTGCTGCTTTGCTGAAGAGTCCCAGGTCCAGGTAAATAAGGATGCCAGCTCTTTTCTCTCACAGGCAGGATGTGCATTCACAGTTATCTGTTCTGCATGTGGATATCCACAGGTATGAAAGTCACTGTAGGTTGCTGAGTAATGCTGTTGCTGTTCTGCCCTAAAGCAGGTGAAAGTGTGGTTTTGGTGCTTTTGGGCTCCAGCTCTCGCTTCACTCTCATGCGCCTGTAAAGGTAAAAATGAAAGTGTTACCAGCGCTGGCACTTCTTGTGGTCTCTCCCATGGTAAATACTGGGAAGATGCCAGCAAAAGCAAGTTGCATTAAGCAGCTGGCTATTGAGAATTCAATACAGGCCAGGATTTTATCCTAGAGATACTAAATGGCAAGTCAGTGCTTCTAGAACTGATGTGCAAGTCTAACCTAATGCCCTAAACAGTGAGAAAGCAAACTCCTCTCTGGTGGCCTTGATGCACGCAGCAAACCTTTCCTATGTCAACAGGAGTCCCTAAAAAGAACATCCTCCATCAAGTACCTACTCCCACTTCTTAGCAATTCAGTCACAGGACACTGACTGTGAGATTCAGGACGCTTCAATTGAGTACATTATAGTTGGAATTCCTCTTGAAGAGTATACACATAGCAGTGATCTTGGTTTACCTCATCTAACCCTAGTGAAGTTAAGAACCCAGCCACCTACCTGTTGTATGTTTTCAATATGAGCAGAACCACTGTAAAAATAATAATCACTCCTACTACGATGGCAGCAACTATTGCTCCAGAACCTAGCAGGGAAGCAGAAAGGGAAAAAGTCTTATTTTAAAACTTGCCATTGTAGTGTTCGAAGTTTGCTAAGTTCAAGTTCCTTACTAAAAAGCTGCAGAAAGTCTCACTTCACTTTGTTACTTTTTATTCAGGGGAACAATTTGGGATGCGACACTTGGGAGCAAGAAAGGAAGGGGAAGGCTAAGTTGAAATTACTGAATGCTATTACCAGAGCATTCAGGTGCCACATAAGAACTAGAGGACACACAAAAAAATGTTCTCTTTATCTCATTTATACTTAAATACACGAGCAAATGTACACACATAAGTTTGGACATTGCTGCTGATCTAATCAAGATATGGTAGTTTCATCTCAGGAACAAAAAAATGCCACCTCATTATTTTTCTTACTTTGATAGAGACTTTGTTCTTGAGACTTTGCGGTCACATTTACTGGGAACTGAGTGTTATTGATCAGTGGTGCGGCTGTCGTCATCTTGAGTCAGCTACAGAAGAAGAATGAAGAGTGATTTCACAAAATATTAACGAAAACATGACAGCACAATTCAGTGATAATTAGGCAACTACCTATTCAAGACTGAGCATTATTTAACTTCTACTAAATGGGGTTCACTGAACTGGGGTTCTTAATGTTTTCTCTGTGGTGAAAACCTGGCCCCACTGAAGTCAATGGAAATTTTGCTACGGTCTAGTCTTGAGCAATTTTGCTTGGAATATACACAGCTTAGTATTAATAGGATAAAATAAGATATAAACACAACAACACCTTGTTACGCATATATTTATCCAAAAGTTGTACAACAGCATTAATGTATGTATTTTGAATGCTTTAGGATTTTAGGTTGTCACTTCAGATTATGAGATTCAGGACGCTGAGCAAATCAGTAAGTGAGAGGGCATCGGGGGAGAGGAAAGACCCAAAACCCCCACTATCCTCCATCCCAAAGTAGATTTACAGAGCTGTTTACATTATCTGTGAAGAGTTTGGTACTCACTTTTCAGCAAAATGTATTTAAAAAGGGGGAAAAAAAGTCAGCTTTCCTGTTATTAAATCATCGCTGACAGGTGATGTAAGGATACTTCTCATTTATGGCAATTAGGAGGTTTAGCAAAGCAAGCTAATAATAACTAATAATACTTTAAAAGGAGGAAAAATCCTTACAGCACAGAAAGGTTTCAAAACTCTTTTATAGAACAGACTTTAAAGCAGCTTCATTTGTCTAACATGAAGAGAAACAGTTCAATCCCATAACATGAAGCTCCAAAAGTCACATGGCAGACAGTGGTTATCCCACGGAGAGAAAAAAAAAAATATTACAGCCTGACTGTCAGAAAGAATAAGTGATTGCTGGAAAAGCAGCTCACTCATACTAGTGTCATTTCAGGTCTATTATTGAAAGCGGACAAGCTTGCAAGTGGACAGCTGAAAATATAGCTGCTGCTGCATTTCGCTAAGGCAAAATTTTAGTTCTCAAAAGAGCAGTCTGTATGCTTACTGATTTTATGCGTGTTTCCCATGTTTTCCTAAACGTGACCTGTAACCGTAGCCATTAAAAGACTCCTTCAGTCTGAGAAGGGTGTGAATACCACTTCAAACAGATCTCTGAAACCATTTCAACTCTTGGCTTCCGAGAGCTAGTACTCGCAAATTATCAGTCCAAAATTAAATTATATTTTGCAGCGCTTGATATTGCAACTGAGTTTCCCTTTTCAGACGCTCCCCAGTATACACATGAAGCAAGACTCTGCACTACTCTCTCTTGTACTCCTTTGGGATATTGTGGATCTGTGACACGTGCTTAGTAGCTTTAATTTTACATAGCACAAGATACAGAACAGCCAGAAGATTAACTGGAAAGAAATCAGTCAGTAATGAAGAGAACTGCAAATCTGAAAGGCAGCCCCCTAAGACACATTCAGACAACTAGTTAATGACTGAAAATGTACCAATTCTCAGGTAACCTGTCCACCACATGATTTTTTCTTCTCCGCTTCCCCCTTACTAAGGCTTTCTAAAGGATCCTCTGAAGTAGCATCCACCAAATAAAGCGACTGCAGTCACAGGGTACAATTCTGATTGCTCTTCACAGGCAGGGTTTTGTTTCAGCAGGGTGAAAAAAAAAAAACAGTAGCTGAGTCAACAGCACAATCTATACTTGGGAGTCTCCATTTAATAGATATACTAGGAATGAGAGACCAGTAACTGGCAGGAAGGGAAACGGTCACTATTTCCAAATGTTTGCCTGGATATGAAATATCGGAATTGCAAGGTTGACTCAGTCAAATGGTTCAGTCCTCTTAAGTTAAAAAGAGTTGGGGTTTTTAATTTAAAAAACAAAAATAACTCTGTCTCAGAATCTGTAACTGGGTCATTCTCCTCTGACTGAATGATTCCTTTGTTCAACCAAGGCCAAGTTACTTCAGCAACATGATCATCTACTGCGGTCATAGTTCCTTCCATGCTGAAAGAAATATATTGTGTTAAGTTTACTCAGTCTTATTGTATAGCATAGTGATAGGCTTTACGTAAGTGTTGATGGAACCTGTGAGGAGATGCTGAAGCTTTGACAACAGCTCTGTGAGCATCTGTCCTCTCCCCAACCCCATTCTTTTTGCAGCAGTGCTGATGAAGATCGTACCTGTCTGCAAGCGGAAGTTGAAGAGACCCTCCATCCGAGGTCTCTCTGTTTCCAGGGGAGAGCTTATGGAAACTTGGCCACTGCAAGCTAGGGGAAGCCAAACAAGTATTTCCTCTACAGACACAATCAGAAAAAGGCATGTACAACTTTCACCTTGTTGCCTATGCCTAGGAGAGCACAAATGCCAGGCTTACAGAGGCATTTTTCTCTTGTTGTTGCCACTAAAACAAAAATTCCAAATGGGAAGGCTGATCGTCTTGTTTGTAAGCCCTGTAATATTCATACTTGCTAACTTTCATCTAGTTCAAACCAGCCTGGTAAAGGTGAGCTATCTGTGCATGAGTCACCTATAACCAGAAAATTTTTATTGTTGTCAGTGAAACTGCCTGTTTACCAAAAGAATGAGTTTGTCCTACAGGCTGTGACAATCTGAGATGCAAAATGAAAAATGCACCAAAACTTTTCTCCTGTATCGTATAGTCACTGAGTTTACATGTGGTAATTAGCAGCTGAAGAGGTCCGGGGTTCCCTATCTCCGGCCTGGGTGGGAGGTGCCAATCTTTAGTTCTGCTGCTTTGCCTGCAAGAAGCCTCCGCTCCATTCCTCACCTATGAATCAGCAGGTTTATGCCTAACCAGGCTTGCGTTGGGAAACTCAAGGACGCAGCAAAGCCTGGTCAAGTCCATGGGAACCTATCAGTTTGAGGCGATTGTAGACTGATTCCTACTCTGTTTAGAAAAACATCTGGAAGATGAAGGGTGCTCAATAAAAGCTACATAGCAGGGGAGAAGGAATGGACTTTGATACAGCAATCACAGGACATTCTTTCTTTATGACACACAGTATGTACTTCCCTCTGTGCATACACACCTTGCTTTTTGAGAGCCACTAATTCACCCATAGTTCTAGAGATTGGGGGTGGAAGCACACGTTGCTGGTTATTTTTGCATCCACATATTACGGAGCTGGAAATATTTCCACAGAGTTAAGCCTTGGGCACATTTCCACTTAAAACACCTTGGCAGATACAGCGTATAGGTTATTTTGGCAACTGGTAGCAATGCCCCCATTTATAAAGCCTTCCTGCCTCCCCCTCTCCTGTTGCTTGTCAAGCTGAATGGCCATGTTCATTTATAGCGAGATCAGGATCAGAGCTGATCTGTCACACAGCTCCTGCCACTGCTTGCAGCACCTGGCAATTACAGAAGAGGGGTGACAGGCAACAGAGAGGTTTGTTTGAGTTTTTCCGTAAGAGCTAGACTTCAAGGGTCAGCTTCCTGCCAGGGAAGGCAGGTGCTGCTTAGAAAGACACACAGAATTCAGCATTTTGCCACCCAGAAAAAGGTGGTCTTTGCTGTGTTGCAGGCCTTCAGCTGGATACCAATTAGCTATCGTTTCTCCAGCAGTAATACGTGTTAGTTTTGACCCAGCATCTCAGTTCGACAATTTATTCATCCTTTGCACAGATAATGACTTCATCTTATATCGTGGGCAAACACAGACTGAAAAATAGAAAACCTAACACTTGTCAAAAGCAGCAAAATCACTCTCATCCAAGAAAGAAGCAAATTCTTCTGAGTATGGAGTTTTCCTCCTTTCCTAAAAGTAACTAGGCTCAGGCATAAGCCTCAGGCTTATGAGCAGTTCCCAGTGGAAGCAGATGGTTGTCCTAGCTCTGCTCCTACCTCAGCAGATTACCTGAATGGCCTGACATTCTCTATCATTGCAACAAGGTTTACTTTGTTTAACCACAGGGGATACTTAGTGGTTTGAACTTGTGCATTTTTATTGTTCCCTGCAGTATTCCAAGTGAGGGGAATCAATTGAGCATTCATGGCACAGCGCAGGAAAGGAAGTAGGCTTCTATTAAAGAGTCCCAAACTCAACTTCAGCTCCCCATAAACTGGCAAACCATCCATCTTCAATCCAAACACACTCCACCGCCAGTTCAGTCATGTGCTACCTAGCTCATGTTACAACAGCGTAATAAGCCATGAGAACTGGGAATATCGCCTGGGTTTTGAGGCAAACTGTAATTTTCAAAAAGTAATAAAAACACAATGTGCTTCAGTGAGACCTGAATGTGCCTGAATTTACCTTGTGAGGTTCTAAGAGGGGGGAAGGGGAAAAAATCCAAGTCCAAACTGGCTAGCAAGAGCTAAGGCATAAACGTGGCTTCAGACAAACAATACAGCTCTGTACTGAGTGTGTGTATTAAGTGCGTGCTCTGATGTCAGACCAACACCTTTATAAAAGCATTTATCTCAGGTTCTGGCATGAGCTCTCCAGGTTTAGCTGTTGTTAAAACACATAATAAAAGCATTTCTTTTCCTTGCTGGGACAGAGAAAGTTGCTTAAACTACAGTCAGTTCTGTTATGCAGTAACAGCACCAACAAAAACGCCAAGAAAGTCAGCCTGTATGGCGTCTGGGCCTTATCTTGAGAGGGCTAAGGGCCTTCAGCGCACGCCGATGGCAAGAGCGGAGGTGCTGCTGGAACTGCCGACAGGTGCCCAGAAGGCAATGCATTGGCTTTGAAAGCCATGTCTGAAAATTCAAGCCAGACAGACTTTGTCATTGACCTGCCTGCCCAAGAGCAATATCTAAACTGGACTGTGAATTGCAGATTTCCCAGTTCTAGTCTTCCACCTCAAAATGCTGAGCCACGCACATTTCTCCTCTCCCTCTCTGTGAATGCACTTATTCATGTGAACTACAGTAACGCCACCACGTTCAGCAAAGTGCATTCTAGCTCTTTCAGGGCAGGACTGTCTATGCAGACAAGCCAGGGTAGGGAAACAAGGCAAGTCAGCGGCATCTTCCCACTGGTTACAGACCAGAATCTCAAGCACACTCGCGTTAGAACGTTCCACTTAATGTGCTACGATAATTTAGTAACGTTCTTCAAAAAGACATTTACCAGAAATCATCTGGTCCAATGGCTGCACTTCCAGAAGACTGAGCTAATTCATTATTGAGATCTGAAGCGATTCATTTAAGAACTAGATCAAAATTTAAAACAAAACTGCCCATTTATATGCAATGCCTGGATGATGTATCAGATATCAAGAGAGACCTGGGAGCAATTTTGCAGCTTATTCCTGAAAGGAATACTAGAGGTTTTCCTTTGCTGTCAACTTCATTTTCCCCCTTTTTTTTTTTTTAATCCAAAGGATCTCTTTCAACATTGCCTCTTTTTGACCAGATACATTATACTTTTTTAACTTATGACTGTACACACACAGGATGCTAAATCAGTCATTCATGGGTGGTATATCAAGAGCTGGCGAATAAGAAGTTTTGTGAGATCTGCCTTATTGTAACAAAGAGGGAAAGATGCAAGACATCACCTGGTCTTTTTGGGGAAAAGAGTTCATTACTTTCCAACACCACCGTCAGAACTACTGGCACTACTGGAGAGAGTCCAGCAGAGGGCTATGAAGATGATGAGGGCACTGGAGCATCTCTCCTATGAAAAAAGGCTGAGAGAGCTGGGCCTGTTGAGCCTGGAGAAGAGAAGACTTCTCATCAATGTGTACAAATATCTAAAGGGAGGGCATCAAGAGGATGGGACCAGACTGTTTTCAGTGGTGCCCAGCAACAGGACAAGGGGCAACGGGCACAAACTGAAACACAGGAAGCTCCATTTGAACACGAGGAGAAACTTCTTTACTGTGAAGGTGGCTGAGCACTGGCACAGGTTGCCCAGAGAGGCTGTGGAGTCTCCTTCCCTGGAGATATTCAAAGCCCACCTGGATGCGACCCTGCACAACGTGCTCTAGGTGACCCTGCCTGCGCAGGGGGGTGGGACTGGATGATCTCCAGAGGTCCTTTCCAAGCTCAGCCATTCTGTGATTCTGTAAGTGTCTCAAGACTTAAAGCAAAATAACACAGAGACTGAGCACACCAATTTCCAGATGCATCAAGTGGTCTCCTGGTGTGTTAGTAATACCTCTCATTTTGCCAGGGACAAGCCCCTGCATCATAAGATCCCCTTCTAGCAGTGCAGCATGACACACAGGTGACTGTGGCACCTTTGGAGCTGGATCCAGATCCCGCTCACAGTTCTCTGTACCATGCCAAGAAGACCGTACATAATTTTTTTCTCCCCTCAGACATGTGCTTTCCCACCAGCATACTGAGGATTTTCTATATTTGCCCTCAGTATCTGGGCATCCACAGCCCCAGCATTGCTGCACAGGTACAATAATTCTGAGAGAGTGGCTGCACATCTGGAAATCGGGGACACATCCCATGTGCAGTAAGTCCCATGCTTTCTGGAGGGGATCGGATGCACCGCTGTATTAAGTGTTTTACATCAGTTTGATACAGATTGACCACCGCATCCCAGAAATGCTGCTTATGTGATACGTGCAGTTCTCCTGCATGTAGTTCTGCCAGGAAAATCAACACGAGGGACAGCCAGCACTGAACAAAGCCAGAGCCGAGGAAACACCGATTCCCAACTCATCTGAACGCGGCAGCAGCTGGAAGCCCTTTCCAAGCGCAGAGGTATTAGCAGAGGCATATTTCTGAGCAGCAGCTCCCACCGCTGCCTGTGAGCATAAACAACCTCCGATGCGGGAATGGAAAACGCAGCCCCGTGGATGACAAGACTCACCACAGCGATGGGTGGAAGGCTGAAGTAAGCAGACCCGCACGGCCGCGCTTCAGAAGCGGCGAATGTTTCAGCAGGTGCAAAGCGTCGCGGGAAGCCAAGGCGAACGCGAGCTCCCCTGAGATGACACAGCTCTGGTTTTCTTCATGCCAAAGGGGGGCTCTGCTCCCCGCGCACCGACAACGTCCCAAGCGCCGTGCGCGTTTCTGAGAGCACTCAGGTGGAGGAGCACGGGAGGGAAGGATGTATATTTTCCAGTTAAATATTACCCTGGAAAACTGATTCAGAAAGAAGAAAAATGCCTCCAGGCACCTTTATGAATCTCAAGGCAGGAATGACTCACAGAGGGGGCGAACGAGACTCAAGGTGGCAGAAACTTTAGAAATCACCGGCTCGTGCGCCCGGATGGAAAGCAGGTTTGAATAAGGAGGAAACTCAGCTGAGCTGAACCCCTCGCGACAGTCTGGCCGTCATCAGCGGCACCACGTTACGCTTCCCTCGAGTCGCGCTAGCCAGGAGTTTGTCTCCGCCGCTCGGACGGTCTGTCAGGCTCCAGCGCTCCCAGCAAACTGCCCATCGGTGGCTAGTTCAACGGATCCGGACAAACGAACCACAAAAAAAGCAACTTGCCCTTGAGGACTGTCTCCTTCCATTACTGCAGCGGAAAGTCAGCCCTGTTCCGTACACATAACACTCTGGAAAAGTCTATGGTACTCCAGGGCTAATTTCAGCTCTTCGGTGATATCTTTGGAAAACTCTCTGCAGCTATACACGTTCCTAGAGAGAAAACCAGAATTCAGCAGATTTTTGCACGCCGCGCTCATGCAGGTCCAAATCCAGCTCTGCTGCAGAACTTCTCTGACAAGTAACATGGATCCACACTGCACGGGAAAGTAGTAGCGACGTTCAGGTGGATCCTCCTTCTCAAGCTAACCACCGCCGAATTGCACGGCAGGAAAACGCAGGCTTCGGCATGCAGCTCGGGCTACTTGGGTTCCAGCTGCAGCGCAACGACGCATGTGCGGAGCTGGGTTTCTGTGCCAGAATACCAGATTCAGTGCTTTTGCAGAAATGATTAACAGGCTCTGTACCTTGCTGGATTTTGCCATTTACTGAAAGGCTGGAACAGCGCAGGAAATTGCCCTGTTGTAGAAAGCCTCTCCCACTTGGATTTTCTGTCAGGGCAACTGCTTTACTCCAGTCACAGCTCATAAATGCCCCAAAGCAGGAGAGACGGAATTAGGATTGAAACTGTTCTCATGGGAATTGCAGCATTAAGCCTTTTATTTAAAGGGCAGAAACAGGTAGCTGTCTGAAAGGTCAGATGCTCCCTTTTGCCATATTAAATGGAAGGCAGATCCCAGATGGATCCCAATTAGAAAGGAGAAAATCCCCCAGGGGACTGTAGTGTGCAAAAGAAATCACAGCACAGCAGACGTTGGTTTCAGTCAGGGCCAGAGTTTTCAGTAGTGCTGGTAAATGTAACTTTAAACAGAGTATGTAACTATAATCACTAAAGAAGGTGCTCCACCACTTCCAGACATCAAAACCCTGATTAATGCAATCTAACCCTTGCTGGAATTGGTCCAAATCCTGTATTAACATCCTGCAGCGAAAGGTGTGCTTTCTGCATTCTCCCCATCTGCATAACTCCGGAGCTCCTCAGAAATGACAAGGAACACAATTTTGGGGGAAATAAAAAGGGGAAATAGAAAAATAGAAAATAGAGGAATGCTACCCTGCGAATTCAGTGCTAGATAAACCCACCTCTTGGTGTGGTCTTGGACCTTCAAAGCGGCCCCGCTCAGGCCAGCTGAGCTACTCCACTAGACAAAAAATTCTCTTTGCTCCTTGCAACGTGTGTCACAATGAAGCCTTTTTACAGAAGTGGAAACTCGGAGAGACAAAGACCCAAAGCCAAGAAGAGGCCAGATATCCCAAGTGCGACTCCTCTAGTCTTCCCCAGCCCATCGCTCACGCTGAATGGAGCGGGCAAGGAGAGCTAAGGAGAAAGAAAGGTGCTGAGTACTTGCTGTGCACCCAGCTCAGCCGTGCCTCTCGGCCATTTCCACACACTGGAGTCAGTGGCATCTTCACAGAGGAAAATTGAGCCCTTCTTAAGGAGCCTTTTAGACCTTGTGAAATCAGTATTGCAGCTACACTCTCCGACTACAAGGAGAAACCTCCCCGGAGCAGAGAGGGACACAGTCCAGGCAGGCAGGACCCTTGTCGCCGCTCACGGTGTTTGCACACGGGCTTGGCGCCTGTTCGCAGTGTGAACAGACAGAACAGGAACACTCAGGAGGGCCTTACACATCGACCAGGAATCTGGAGAACCCAGAGACAGAGGGGAGCCAGCCAGGAGAGGAGCTGGGGAGCGGAGCTGGCAGCTTCACCAACGGTACGAGGAGAGGCTTAAAAATCCTGGGAGGGAACAAGCTGCCCAGTGCAGCCACTGCCACCATGGAGCTGATGCCCTGGAGATGCTGAGCTGTGTGGTGCAGCCAGCCCGTGCCTTCAGGTGAAGAAGCCTTTACCACTCTCTTTTAAGAGAAAGCAGACAGTGGAGGCAGATTTCAACACCCCTTTTGAAACCTTTTTAAAAAAGGTCAGGGGATGTTGATGTACTTGTTGTTTGCTGAGCAGATCAAGTCTGTCACAGCTTCTTCCTAGCCAGAGATGAAGAGCAGCACAGACAGGCATTTAATCAACATGCTGAAATGTCTTCCCTCTAGCAGAAAGTTAAAGCAGTGCCATGAAATCAGCCCAGGTAGGAGGCTAGTAGGTAGAAAGAAATGTGTTCACACACGCTTGCACTGCGGTCCAAGAGTTTTCTCCTCTACAAAGACCCAGAGCTCGGCGTCCCACCACCAGCTGTCAGTGCCCTGCCTGCAGCAGGCAGCACGTCCCTGCTCCTCGGGACTCATTCCCCCAGCTGTGTTGACTGGCGCTCTTAGACTTGCCACCACAAAGAACTGCAGGACAGATGTTGCTGAAAAGCACGGTACTACTACGCTGAGCAAACATCGTGCCTGGTCAGACTGCTGAACAAACGCGCTTCCAGAACGGGGCTTCTGGTTTCTCACTGAGGAGAAAGATTGCAAAGCTCTCACCTGTGGAACAAGCAAATCTAATCTTCTGCGCTCAGGACCTCTTTGGCCTCTCAGATCAGACGGAAAAAGAGACTGTTAACAAGTGCCATGCATCAGGCCTTTGTAAAATGACATCTGTTCCCCAAGAAAGGCAACCAAATCCCACCAAACTTATTTCACATCTGATCACAGCTCACATGTCAGCACTGAGACATTCGGCCACAGCTAACCTGAGCCCAGCTCTCCAGGGCTATGCAGAGAAGAGGAACTCAGTAGCCCAGTTCCACGTTACTGGAACAGGACTGATAGAAACCACAAAAACCATGTCAACACATTGTGCCCAGCCGGAGAACATCATGAAATTAATTAACATCAGTAGCACGGGGCAGATCTGGGCTCCCGCTGTGGCATGCAGATCTGCGACCAGATCTGATTCCAGCTTTTCCCAGAGTTCAGGGAGCTCTGTCTAACTCGGGCAGTTCACATCCCTTCCCTATAAAAGGACTGGCCAAGTCACACGCATTAAGCAGAGCAACTTTCCATGTGGGCCCTAATAATGAAGAACAAGAACGAGGTTTTCAGAAACGCAGAAACGTATTTGCATACCCATATTTGTACACACACTACCTCCTGCCACCTGGCTATCTTTGAGCACAGCCCAAAGAGGAGAGGGGAAACCTAGCAAAGACATCCAACGCTTTGCTTAGGCATACA